TGCGGAGCGGCCGGGCCCGCCCGGCTCCCCGCCAGGTAAAGGCGAGGGTCTTGTCCTCCCGGCTCAGCGCGGGTTTGGCAACGCGAAATTAAAGGAACCGGCCTGGAAACGCCGCGGTGCAGAAAGGAGCTCGACCAGAGGAAGTCTTCAGGCAGCGCAACCCGATAGTGGAAGTAGAGACACCCCTGAACGTTGCAGACAAAAACCAGAAAGATACACTTCAGCATCGCTGGTGAAAGAGACAGGGCTTATCCAGACACCTTATCACAATTCTGATTAAGTAATGATACATCCAACAAAACCTTTTTTTCTTATTCCAAAAGCACTTCATTAAAAAAGGAGTAAAAACATCATACATAGCTGTTTCACAATGCTGTCAGGAATAATGTTCCCAGGGAAGTGATGGACGCCCCAGCACTGCACACTTTGAACATTCAGCTGGACAGGGTGCTGGCACATCTTATCTAGGTCATGCTTTGCCTAGAAAGGTTGGGCCAGATGATCATCAAGGTCCCTTCCAACCTGGTATTCCATGATCCTGTCTCTCCAGTGACTAAAAACACAAACCCAGAAAGCCCATTCCCCTCTTGCACAGTTCTCTTCCTCAGAAACCAGGCTACTCTAGTACCCTGACCCCTGATGAATCAACACCGGAGCAGTTAAATCCCTGCACTGGGGCCTGGCAGTGCACCTGCCTGGATGCCACCAAAGATGCTGCTTCCTCCCAGGCCCTTGAAGTCTGGGGCCACAGAGAATTTCAGAGACTGCAGTCCCTCTGGCTGAGCAGCCCGCAGTGGACACAAATACAGTGTGTGCAAGCAATCTGTGACTGAACTCAAAATGAGTTGTGAGTTGTAGCTGCCACTTGTGTGACTGGAGACATTCCCTCAACCAGACTGAAGGAGAGGAGAAAAGAAGGGCAACAGCTGAGGGGAAGTAAATACTGAAGTAAGCAGGTTTGCTCCAGCCTCAAAAAACCCAACCAACCAACAAAACCCAACCAAAAAGCAACCCTAGAAAGGTTACAGAAGGGATCAGTGCAGAGAATCTGTGAACACCTGGAAAACAGAGCTGAATCTACCTCTGCACATCCTTTCTCTGGGTTCTTCGGGGTCCTGGGATGCTGACCTTCTTAAGGCCAGCTAACCCGTGGGAGCTTGTTCAAAGGGCTCAGTTCTGCATGGCTGTGTGGGCACCCAGCTCATCTGTTGGTGGACAAACCATCTTTATCTCAGTTGCCAACCACTTGACCGAGCTACTCAGGTTTAGCACTGTGTAATATCATCACTGGCTGCTCCCCTTTGAGGTAGGTAGGTTAACTGTCCAGGGATCACTTGTCCCTTCAGTGGCACGTCAAAGCCTTGCCATCTGTCCCGGGCTCAGCTGTAACAGTTATTTTTCTCCTTCCCAGTAGCTGGTGCAGTGCTGTGTTTTGGCTTTAGTCTGAGAACAACGCTGGTAACACACCAAAGGTTTAAGTGTTGCCAAGTAGCACTCACCCTGATCAACGACTTTTCAGTCTCATGCTCTGCCAGTGAGGAGAGGCACAAGAAGCCACGAGGAAGCAGAGACAGGACACCTGACCCAAACTGGCCAAAGGGGTATTCCATACCACAGCACATCATGTCCAGCATAGAAACTGGGGGGGAGTCACCCGGAAGGCCCAGATCGCTGCTCGGGTCGGGCTGGGTATCGCTCAGCAGGTGGTGGGCAATTGAATCCTCTCCCCTTGTTATTTCCCTTATCATTAGTAGTAGTAGTTTCATATTATACTTCAGCTATTGGACTGTTTTTATCTCAACCCGTGGGGTTTACATTCTTTCAATTCTCCTCCCCATCCTGCCCAGAGAGGGGCAGGAAGTAGGGGGAGAGTGAGCAAACAGCTGCGTGTTGCTGAGTTACCAGCTGGGCTTAAATCACAACACCATCAACCTCTAAAACCTAACAAAAACATTAAGCTCTAAGCTATATAAAAAGGTGAACCCAAATCCCAGTACCTGCTTTTGTCAGAGAACACCTAATACCCTGAGTATTAATACCCTCACAGATGAGAAAACATTGACCACTTGCCAAAGAAAGGGGCAGGTATCTCCCAGCTGAGTGTCACTGACAGTTGTTGCCTTGCCCACAAGTACAGAGGACTTGGTAAAAAGTCCAGTCAAATTCACAGAAAGGCTTCTCATTACTCCAGGGGCTTTAGGATCATTCCAAGGCAGGTAAGTAACTAAGTCCCAAACGCTAACAAGCCTCTTCCAGGCCTGACCATAACCGCCCCATTCAATAGCTATCATCATCCAGCATTGTGCTAAACGTTCTTATGGCAACAGTACGACGGGGTCCCACTGTATGGGAGTGATTTCAGCAGCCTACTGCTGCTCTCTGCAGTTCTAGGGTAAAGAATAAAAAGTCTGAGAGAACAAGAAAGAAGATACACTGATCTTCAGACTTCCAGAGAGATCACTCTGAGCTGAAGAAGCCTGGGAAAAAAAAGACGAAACAGAGAAGTCTCTACAGCTCCGTTTTCAGCCGTTCAGGAGCAATCTCACTGTAGCTCTTCTTCCTTTTCACTTTGTAAGTCAAGGCTTGAGAATATTCAGACAGCAGATGCTCCCAGTAGCAAGAGACATCCTCCATCTGCAAGTGCTCGGTGATGAACTGGCGTCCCCTGGAGACACACAAAGCACAGTCAGAACCAATTCCCAGTTCCTACAAGAGTCTTTGGGTTTGTTTTGCATGTGTATCAACTTTCACTCCTCTGTGTTTTCCATGAGAAACAACACACACTGCTCTGTCCCATCTATTTGAATTTCACAATCTTCACTCACAGCTCTGGCAGTTGCAGTGTTTTTGTCACCCTCAAGATGGTATTTGTTACGTGGGATAATAAATATCAGATCTCACACACATCAGACGCAGCCTGAGCAGCACCGAAGCATGCTGCTTCAGAAGCCAGTGACTGCCAGCCTACCTACATAATGCTACAATGCAGACACGGTTCCCAAGGGTCAGCTCACCCCCTTCCTAGAGGAAAGCTCCCAACCTCTGAGAGCTTTCAGTGGGCTGAACCAAAGACTAAAGCAGATAATTTTGTTCCCTGGTTCCCCCTGCTTGTTACACCTTCTCCAACCCTTCTGCTGTTACTGCGGAAGATCAATCATGCTTCACCATTTTAATATGAGGTTGTCTTTGATAGGCAACACCTTCAAACGCTGCATAAGCAAATGCTTAGGAAGAAGACTGCCCAATAGGCAGAAGGACACACAACTTACCTCTCTGAAATCTCTTGTGCTATGGCATCATTTTCCTTTACAAACTGCAACAGCTCCCTAAAATGAAGACCAACAAAAACGCTATGAAACAACCCACTCAGGGGAGAACAGTGTCCCTCAGCTAAACTATTGTGAAGGATGACAGCATGTCCAGAGAAGGGCACTGGAGCTGGTGCAGGGCCTGGAGCACAAGTGTGATGAGGAACAACTGAAGGAACTGTGGGGGTTTAGTCTGGAGAAGAGAAGGCTCGGGGGGACCTTATCGCTCTCTACAACTGCCTGACAGGAGGATGGAGCCAGGAGGGGGCCGGTCTCTGCTCCCAAGGAACAAGGGATGGGACAAGAGGAAATGGCCTCAAGCTGCACCAGGGGAGGTTTAGGTGGAGAGGAGGAACAATTCCTTCCCCAAAGGGTGCTCAGGCATTGGAACAGGCTGCCCAGGGCAGGGCTGGAGTCACTGTCCCTGGAAGTCCTCAAATGCCATGTAGATGAGGCCCTCAGTGACATGGGTTAGTGGTGGCCTTGGCAGTCACCACTGTTACCTTGGGGTAGCAGCTCAACTTGATGATCTTAAAGGTCTTTTCCAACCTAGTTGATTCTATGATTAAGGATCTACAGCCGAGCAAGGGATTGGTGCTCATCATTGCAAAGCACAGAAGAAAACTGCCCTTATTTGTTCCATTCCTGTTCTGAATGGCATGCTGGAATCTAGGAGCATTTTTGGCCTAGAGTTAAGTTCCTGTTCCCTTCAGTATCTGTTCTGCAGGCCACACTTGCACATTAAGTGCCTAGTGTCTGCTGATTTCAGTAAGGGCAACCAACCTACATACTCCAGTAAAACTGCTACTACCCAAGTAATATGAGCAAAGGACTCTTTGGTGGCAATAATACAGAGAAAAGAACACGAACTCCAAGAGCCTTTGTCAGGTTCCCAGGACTGGAGGCACTTCCTAGAACAATACAAACCAAAGCACCTTCCCAAACACAGGAGCTTTTTCCTGTGGCATGCAATGCTCCACTGGGCATGCTTGGGATCTCGCACCTGACATCAGAGAGGTCTGATCTGACGGGGATGTAGTGGACCCAAGGCTTCAGCTGCGGGTAGAAGAATTCCAACCACTCTTCTCCAACATGAAAGACAAGTGAGCCACACAAGAAAAGGTGCTTCAGCCGGAAACTGGCAGCCACTCCCCGGAAATTAAACAGATACCTTTAAAAGGAGAAGCAAAGAGAAGGGCCTGGTTACACTCCGTGGTTTGTGAGGAAATTCACTAAGAAACTGGGCTCTGAGCAGCAGCCAACCTTCCCCACAGGCAGCCACTGGGAGCGAGGGGATCCCCTCACACTGAGCTACACACCGGTCACTGAAACAAAGGGAAGATGTTTATCTCAAGCTACTCACAGGAAAGGTGAGCTGAAAACAAGGATGTTCTAGGTGAGCTTCTGTTGCCTGTCAAAACTGAGGGAGAAAAACAACATGTGAGGCTCTACTGCCTTTGTTGAACCAAAGGAAGCCTCATGGACAGCCAAAGCATAGATCTCAACGTGGATGCTGATCCTGTGACTCTGCAGCTTCAGAGACTGTCACCATGAGGAGCTTTATCCCAATTCTCCCATGTCTTCCAGTGAACTTTTCTGTTTGTTGCTCTGCTTTGCCACATCTGTCCCAGTTGGGGGTTTGTCTTTTCTTTTTCCTCTGGGATTTTGTTTTAATCTGAATCTGATTGTTTCATATTAAGTTGGGAATGCAACCCTAGGAGCTTAAGGAGGCTAGCACACAACAGATGGACTTCACAGATAACAAAGACTCCACAATTTGGTTTTCAGTATTTTCTGCCAAATCAGTAAAGTGCGCTTGAGTGGGGAGGATTTCTCTTAGCAAATTGTATCTCAGAGGGATGCTTGGTTGTTTACTTGCTTTTTTAAACCCACATTTCTCCAATTACATAGAAAGCTGTTCTTCCTGCGAGTAAAACCCCTCAGTACATATATAACTAATTTTTGAAGTCAAACATTTTGGGCTGGGGAAAGGGAATGCTTCTTTTAATGAAGCTATTTTGGGTGGAATGGTGCCTCTACATGATATATATTTTGTGTGAGATAGGAATTATAGCTGAACTTAGTTCAGCAGCAAGTGACAAGGAGTAAATCTGAACTTATGTTGTGTTCTTTATATCACCTGGGAGCTCAAGGCAGGCATGAGGAAATCAACAAATACATGTAGAGATGTAACACAAACAGTGGTCTGAAAGCAAGGAAATGCCTTTGTTGAATTCCAGACAGAGCTCCCACCATCCATGATGAGTCACTGAGCACTGCTCTCAGACAGCCTGCTGTAGCACCTACCCTGCAGGAAGCAGAGAGGAGTTCATGCTGACCCTACCAGAGAACAGTGTGTGAGAATGCCTCAGCCTGCACTGTCCAAGGGGCTTAAGAGGCAGCAGAAATGGGAAGCTTACGTGCAACAACAGAAGGGAGAAATTTGGGCAACAGTCTAGTGAATATAAAATGAGACAAGTCAAATGACATTTGCACAAAAACATAGATCCAGCCATATGACTGAGTTCTATCAGCAGATTCTATCTGGCAGAATTGTAACGAGGTAGTTTTAAAGCAAAAGAAGCAGCAAAACATCAGACATACAAGTGCATACACACTGAGCTTATATTTTTACATAGAAACCCACAAGAATATTACACCAAATCCCCCTCCCTAAAGCAGCTAAAAACCGTAAAAACCTTTGTAATTCAAACCCCACATTCTTTCAAACAACAAATGAGTCAATACTGTATCTGCTCAATCATATTTCAGGTTCTCTTTCACTATAAACATCCAGCATTTGCCTCAGTATGCATATGAAGACATGGTTCCTCAGTTTCCTGTATCTTTAAAGACAGCAGTGCTATCACTGTAGCATTAAAAAAGTTATTCTGGACACGCCACTTGGTACAGGAATATAAAGAAAAAATTACAGAAAGCCTTTTTGATTAAAAAGTATCTATTTGCTTATTAGTGATCTAAGACCTTTCCCCAAAGCACTTTATTTCTCCTGACCTGACAGGGGAAAGCTGGCACTGAAAGAGGCCATGCTAACCTCCCAAATCTTCAACTGCCTTTTACGCCTGTTCCCAGGCTTCCTTACCTGCATGGAGCTGGTTGCTGGAATTAGACCTTAAAATAAAATGAGACCTTACACCATACAAGGAAAGACATAACCTGCAGCCCTTGAACAACTTACTAATCAAAGCTCTTACTTGTATTTGCAGTGATCAACCAGGGGAATTTCCTTTGCAGGAGGCTTTCCTAATGTGTCCTTAAAATAAAGAGAATTTTAAAAGATCGGTAAGTTTTATGTGGTGATTTCGTATTTGTTTTCATTCTCAGTTAGAAACAAAGCTGAGATCTCAAAACCCTCTATTCCCACTTCTGAGAAAACCTTCTCTGGTGGGCTTTTAGAAGTATTATTAAGAATTCCCAGCCCTTCAAACAAGAAAAAGAGTTCAGTAAATTACACACTGCCTGTAAGCAAACGCCAGCACAAACACATTAAATGATAATGTTTAGCTGGCAACTACAGACTGGAAAACAGCTTGGGACAAAGGGCTATGTGAAGCCAAGTGTAACTGGATTAGCCAAGACTGTCTGGAGAGAGCTGGATTGTATAACTAAGTATAGAACCAAAGGGTTATCAGCAGCAGTTATCAGGAAGTTATCAACCATAAGACCAGGAAATGGAGATTACAGAAAAAGGTTTAAGAAGACTGACACCACCATACAGGCAGCTCAGGGATAGAAGGGGAAGAGTTGGCTAATTCTGTTGCAGTGGAAGAGGAGGGGAGTGGCATTGATTCATTTTCGTATGTGTGCTGGTTTCCTTGAACAAAAAGTGTACATGGAAGACAAACACTTGGCCTCCTCTAGAGACACCTTCCTTTCATCCTTCAGAAGTGTGGCCATCAAGGGGATTCTTGATGAAACCCCAGCAAGATCCTCCTCAATCGTCAAAGCCATCTTGCACTGCCACCTGTTCTGGCCTTCACACTCATGAGACAGACAACATCCACACACCTTTTCAGATTTCCAAGCCTGGTTTTTGGTGTACTCAGCATCAACAAGTTCTGGGTTTTCTCGGGACAGCAGAATGAGGGGATCTCTCTCAGGGCTTGTTCTGCAAAAGAAATGCCATCAGCAATGGTCAACCCACAAGATCCAACATAGGTAACAAACTACAGGGCTCAAGACACTGCCTCTTTACGAGGCTGACCTCCCTATGTGCCCCAAAAACATTATTAAGTGCCTACCATACAGTGTACTTCTGTCCAAGGGCATATTAGCAGAAGAGAATGAATTATGTATCCCGAAGTGATTTGAGGCCATTTTCTTTATCTCACTTAGTAAATATTTAATAGTATTATTTGAGCAATTCCCAGGCCAAACCAGCAGAGATGGTGTTTCCTTCAGGCTTTATCCTGATGGGTGCCAAATACTTTAGCTTTCTCTGACTTGGAAAGGAATTCAGAGATATAAGCATCTTCAATGCCAACACTAATTTAAAACACCACTGATAAACAAGGTTATGACACTCCTGAGACTTGCTCCTCATCACGTCCTGAGCCTACCTGGTATCTATCAGATCCTTCCCTACTGGGGATGGGGGAGAAACAAAGAACCGGATTTAACATTGCTTCCAAACTGTCACTGGAGGGAGGGCAAAAATAATCTCTACTCTCTTACCCCCCACCACTCAGGTGACTTAAAGCAAGAGTACTTCTGATTCAGTGTCAAGCACTTGCATTGCAAATACAAGTCTTCATAATAGCATCAACAGCAAATCTTTAAATGTGGATCGTGCACCCGCAGTTCCCTTCATAGAACGACTTGTTTCCTAGTGTGACAGTTTTACTCATTAAGGAATAACACATCAAATCCATCACAGCTTCTGTTTCCAATATTAGACTTTTATAATAAACTGGTTGCAAATGGCAATTCTTATTGAGAATCATTAATGGTGAAATGCTGCTGTACAGAATGTTTCACTTTCCTTGCTTTAAAAATAAACTACATTCTGGTTTGCACTTGTTTAGATACATAACATTCTGCACACAGATAGCTGTCACAGTGTATGTCAGCAGAACCTCCTGCTACAGGGAAATGTGCTCACCTGGATCCTCGGAAATATCCTTTAGAGATTTTTTTCATCCATGGCCATTTTTCTGCAGATCTGAAAATATTGTTTATACATGGCAATGAATGATTTAATATAACCAGGAAACAGCACTGTCATCAGTTGTCACAGCATGATCTCTTTATATTATTCTTCATTTTTCAATGGAAATCACTTTCTTCATTAGAGCAGAAAAACCTCTCAGCCAGATCCAATGAAACAGGCTTTCCTGTGAATATCTGGTTTAAGGTAATGCAATACAGGCTACTTTTCAGGATATCTTTCAGCCAAAACAGTGAATTGCACACAACCCCCTCACCAAACCTTTAAGGGCATTAAAATTTATGTCAAATTTGAATCCACGTTTTGTCCTGTTGCTTTCTTTTCCTGTAGTTCACTGAATATGGATAATGCAAAATGTGTGGAGTTTCTAACCACTCATTTCCCAATTAGAAAACCCAACGAAAGAACAACCACCAAGCAACCAACCCTGCCTATTGTTTTGCATTTAAAAGAAAGGGGTTCACTGTTTTCCCAAATAACTTTCCTTTTACATCTAAGCAAATCCTTCAGAATAGCTGTTCACATGTTTAATTTCTATCAGTGCAGTCACCTTCCTGCCTCTGGGGAACTCTTTGTGGCACTTTTCTGTTGCACCTGGTCCCCAGACTGATCAAGCTTTGCACCTACTTATAACCCAGTGACACAAGTGGGGTTCACTGAGAAAGCAAGGATAAGTAAATGCTTTGGACCTTCATTGTACCACACCACATCAGGCTTCAGCTATGATTAGCCTCATTGATCTTCAGATTTTGAACAGCGAAACACTCAATCTTGCATTCTGATGCCAGGTGATGGACATAAAGGTGGTTTTTCTTGTAATATATGTATGTTCACTCACTGTTGCACACTTTGTCACTCTCCATGGGAAACAGCCCCTTATTCTGCTAATAGTCAAAAATCCTGCCAAAAGAAAGACTCCCAGTCAGAAACATCTTCTGTCTAACTCTCAGCCCAGTAACGACTCTTGATTCTTGGGAATGATTACAGGTTTCTCTATTGCACAATGACACTCAAGTAAAAGCAGATCTAAAGGAGGCTTTCCTTTACCCTTCCAGAAGCTTACACAAACATCCTGGATCATCCCTGCAGTGAAAAAACCACAGCTCCTAGAGAAGTAGTTGAAACAAAGGAAAACATTTCCATATGTCAGGGTAGATGTCTGCAGGCAAAAGATAACTGCTACTTTATTGACAATCCCTATCCCAGCAAAAATGATAGTAATCTGGCCCTGACAACATGAAAAATGGGTATATTCTGTCCTCTGCATTTCTTACTCAAGTGCTGGAAACAGAAAAGCTAATTATAACTTCTAGTTACATCATCCAAGGTTTCCATGGAGAATTCTTATACAGCACTTAGGCTGTACGTAGTTAATGAGAAGCAATAGGACACATCACGGGCCAACAGACCTGTGGTCTTAGACTTCAACACTGGCCCAACGCTGCCCAGTGCTTGATGGCTTTTACTGTGATTCTGTCTTCCACTAAACCTCCACACACACATAATCACTTCCAAAACCTACCTTCTGAGGTCCTCTCTCATGAGGTCCCAGCGACCTAAACCTGTTGGGTAAATTGGCCAAACAGCTGGTCCTCCTTCCCAAAATGTCCAGGCAGGATACATGATATCATTGTAATCAGGTGTCTTAAGAAAAAAAAAGAAGAGTAATGTAAGAATAAGGGTAATATCTACTTCAGTTTACTCACTGAGCCCACCAGTAATTCATGTCCCTTCTGGGAGTTCTTTTGGCTTTCTCCATTACCATTCCATGAGCAGCCAGGAGAGCTTTGCTGTCACCATGATGCTGCTGGGGTTCTTAGGAAGAAAATGCAGTAATGAAATGTTGCAATGATGTTAGAAAGGCTGCATGACAACATGGGACTTTCACACTAGAAAACAACAAAAGAGGTCTCTGATACAGCTGATGAGTAAACAGCAGAAGACCTGAGCTCCACTCATTTTTCTGAAGGCTTGTGCCTGTGTGTAGCTACAAATGTTATCTACTAAAGAGAAGTTAAGAAGCATTATTATTTCCTCAGACACAGAAGGACTTAGACTTTGACATTTAGGTTTTCCACACTCCAGTTCATTCCAGCCTTCCCAGAGCTCACTTAATTCACTGTAACAAACACCCAAGTCATGTAAGAATTTCATTTCCTTACTCCTATTTGGATGCTTAAACCCCTATATAACCAGAGGGAAGACCAGCACTTAAGTGAGACTCAACCCTTTCAGGAAACCAAACTGTAGGTCGCTTCCTTGTGCTAGTAATGAACTTCCTATACAATTATCCATCTACCTGTCACCTGGAGATACTGCAGAGTCCAAGGCCTCCAAGGTAGTCAGCAGGTTGGTGTACATGACATATAAACAGGGGCTGAGGAATGGGTTTGTTCATGCACAGAAGAGGAGGCTTGGGGGAATCTAAATGCCATCTCCTAATGGGAGAGTTCAGAGAAGATGGATCAGACTCCTTTCAGAAGTGCAGAGTCAGAATGAGAGGCAACAGGCTTTGATTACAAGAAAGGAAATTCTAATTAGATATTGGGAATATGTTTTCACTCTGACAGAGATCAAACACTGTCTGAGGACACCCTGCTTGCAGAGATGCTCAGATCTGGTCAGAATGTAGCCCAGAGCACCCAGATTTAGCTGGTCCTGCTCTGAGGGTCAGGGTGACCTCCTGAGACCCCTTGCAAGTGAAATGAGTGTGTGCTTGTATTATCTGCTCCTTCTCAGTCTTGGTATAAACAGGCACTGACAAGAAACCATGACAGCTCCTCCACCACCACTCCAGGGCCAGCCTTCTGAGATGGAGAATAGGATAATCCTTCAATCCCTTATGCTTTCAGTCTTAGCACCCTGTACCAGCATCCTGGAGCCTTCCACACAAGGGATGGTTAAATGCGAGCTGTGCCTGGATCACTGGGTTTCACTTATGGACAGGGCTGAGGTTCCAGTTCAGAAACTGGACAACAGTGACTGGAGAACTCAGTTTCTTGCTGGGTCCTGCAAGGCACCCCAGGGCAGGATGATGAATACAGCTGCAAAGATTAAACTCCTGTAACCAGCTCTGCATCAGTCTAGGTTCTGCTGGCTAGAGCTAAGGATGTGCAAGGGTCAAGACAGTTTACTACTTACTAGCTTACTACTACATTTGGCAGCAAACATGGGTATTGACTGACAGTGCTTGCAACGCTGCTCTGAAAATCCAGAGAGTTTGATGGCTGGGGACTAGGCAATAGTTATGGATCATATTATGGTTCAGACTGCATAAGCTGAAGACCTGGTTTCAGAGTAAGATACTACAAGTTAGCAGAAACAGAACAGGACTTGAACTAGCAAGACAAATGTTTTACTGCCTCTTTTTGCATCTGACTTTCTGCTGGGCCTCAGCTATGGCCAGGGTCATGATCAGGGTTAGGTAGCAAGGGTGCAGGATTTGGGCACATTGGGCACACACTAAGGCACAGCAAGATTAGCTGAAGCTTGAGGTGTAACAATATTTTGTTGGAAAGGATGAGACACTATGCTACAGTCAGGTTTAACAACGGGAGAGGTGGGAAAACATATGGGAGGGCTCTCAAGTGTGGGAAGAGGGAAGCAGTGAGCGAATGTATCTCTGTGCGTGTGTGCATGTTTGCAGATGGAAAACGGTATCCAGGGGAAAAGGGCTCACCGAAGGCAAGAATACTGAGAGAAGAAAATCGGAAACACTTATCTCTGGTACCAGAAAAGAGAGGACAGCTGACTGATGATCAAAAAACCTCAACAATGCTGATAAACTACAGCTACAATTTTAATAGGGGCACTGTAGCAAATGACAGCAATGCTGGCACATATCCCATCCAGCTGTGCATCATTCCACTGTGGCAGACGTACAATTTTTGACCTGGAAGAGAAGCTAATGAGGGAAAAACTGTTGTGTTGATAAATCTGCAAGCCTGTCTGCCAGAAATCTGGAAGTAAAAGCAAACATAAAGAGCAGGCAATTTTGGCAAATGCAAAATCTGTGGGAACCATTCTCAAAAGTAGATTTCCAAGAGAAAGGAGAACGTGCATGACTCAGAAATGCTCAGCTTTTACAGGGGTCCACACCTTACTGAAGGAGAAGACTGGGATAATGGGTTTCATCCACGTGGGGACTTGGGGGTAGTCTCGCACATTGATGACCATTTCCATGTCAGGGAGGCGGCTGATGATCTCCAGAAGGAAGTGCTCAACTCCACTGCATCTGTAGAGAAAAGCCATATGGCAAAGAGCCATAAGGAGAAGGCAGAATCCTGGAGTCTCTTGCAGGCCTTTCCCTATGCACAGGCACAAAGGAGATGGCAAGACTAAGCCATACTAGGATGCAGGCTGGGAACTGCCTCTAGCAGCCTCTAAGCCGCAGTGCAGTACAGACTCCACTGAAACAACCCATTCTGGTAAATCCGACCTGACCTGCAGCTTTCTCTGGAATCCCACAACCAACCAACCCTTTGTCAACTGATGTGCCACAATGACATGTACCTCTTGCTACATTCAAGCCTCAAGCATCATTCTCTAGGCTTCTGTTCCGATAAGGAGTTCAGACTTCTGAAATATTATTGTACTCAATGACTTTCCACTTGGCAGCACTGGAAGCAGTGCTGTGTCCCAGCTAGGGTGACAAGATCTTCCTCACAGCACTTACCTTGCAGGGAACAAGCAGTCCTGCTCACGGTACAGTTTGTTCTTAATGATTTGGTAGTGTGTCCCAAGCTTCCGGCTCACCACATCTGACATTATTTCCTTGGAAATGCCACCTCGAAAAGGAGCCAAGTCCTGCTTCCAGACACTGAAACACAACAACCAGCTGTTAATATGCACAGTAGGGAGGATACTGTGCATTAAATTACTGCAGCATGCAGAACAGACTTCTAGCTAAAACAAGCTGTCAGTAGCTTCCAGGAGCGCTGCTACATGTAGTAGAATGGAGAATGTGATTTAAGTCACTTGGAAGAGCTGTTACTCAGAGAGTCAAAAGTCCAACCTTCACTCTTTGACTATGTGCTGTTTGCCCAAACAGAAAGCCCAGCACAGGACTCTGAGGCTAAATCAACATGGACAACTCTAGCTCCTCTGCCAGAAAGCACCTTACATACCCTGGCAGGTTATGAGTAAAAGTCTGCAACTCAACCTTTGAGTTGCAAAGTTTGTGCTCTGGCCTTCCATGAATGATGGGCCAAGACCAAATTCCTCACACAATGTCATGCTGTTTAGACATTTAAAAAAGAATGGAAGAGTCTAGTTGCAAGGAACAGCAGCACCCAATACTGCTGGGTGCAGTCCCAGAAGGACAGGCCTATGAGGCACATACTCTGTGACATCTACACATCAGCAGCGAGCTCCAGGAACACAGTGTGAAAACAAAAGCCTAGTGAACAGAAGAAAACACAGAAGGAGGATGCAGCTTCTATAAATTTAGTCTAAAGGTCCTCAGATCTAACTGCTTGGAGAATTTAACAAACACTGTCAGGTTGTAACAGCCACGGAGACATCCTCCCCACTTTTTGGCAGACACTGACTCAGTGCCTCAGTTTAATTTAGCACTGCTGGGGTGATCCCACTGTGAGGGTGGTCAAACACTGGAACAGGTTGCCCAGAGAGACTGTTTCTCTCTGTTTGCCCAGAGAGTTTCTATTCTATGAGATATTCAAGCCTGACTGGCCACAGTTCTGGCTGCCCTGCTTAAGCAAAGGGATGGACTTCACAATCTTAAGATATTCCCTCCAACTTCCAGGATTCTCCTATTTTGCAATCAGGTGGAAACCAGTAAAACCGGATAAAGAATTGCCATTGTGCAGATGGGCTGAGTACAGGATAAGGAGTCTGGCAGGGATGCAGATGTAACGAGTTTGAGAGCAGGAAGAAAGTTGCAGTTTTATGAACCATCAATGTCACTGTAGCCTAAGTGACAACTGAAAGGTAGCTTCTAAAAGCCCGCATGAAAGACTTGTCAGCAGCATTGCACTGAGTGAGAAGGCAGAAGTGGATTGTTAAGGTATAAATATCACCAGCTATGTGCATGGCTTATTGCATGATCATGTATGGGGGCACCTTATTGCTCCCTACAGGAGGGATGACAGGATGGAGAGAGGTGGGGGTTGACCTCTTCTCCCAAGCAACAAGTGATAGGACAAGAGCCTCAAGCTGCCCCAGGGGAGGTTTAGATGGGGATGAGGAACAACTCCTTCCCCAGAGGGTGCTCAGGCATAGGAACAGGCTGCCCAGGGCAGTGCCAGAGTCACTGTCCCTGCAAGTGCTCACCCTTAGTGACACGGGTTAGTGGTGTCTTGGCAGTCCTGGGGTAACAGCTGGACTTGACGATTGTCCTGTGTTCAGCTGTAGCAGTCATAGCTGAACCCAGGACAATGATCTTAAAGGTCTTTTCTAACCTAGCTGATTCTATGACGGCTGCAGCCTTAGAGCCCCAACATTCTCTACCTGATTCCCAACCATCAGTGCTGGCAAAAGTATTCCCTCTCATGGCCAGAGGCCTGTGCAGGCAAAAGGAAACCAGTCTCTCACCTTTGGTGGCAGCTGCAATTCTCCTTTACACATGGCTTATAGACTTCCACAGCTTTCTTAATGTGGTCTGTTATTGTTTTCCATTTGGCATCTAAAACACACAGGAAGGAAAAGCCATAGGAATCCATCCCTTACAGCACCAGAGCAACTAGCGGGAGCTGAACAGCATTCCCGGTCCAGCTGACGGTAGCGATGCTCCAGGGTCCCACAACACACCCCGGCACTGTTCCAGTCCCTGCAGCCCAACGAGGGGATGCTTAAAGCAAGCGGGGGAAAGAAGAGCCG